AATCAGGGTTTAGTTCATCAATAAATTTGGAAAACATACGCCAATAAGACATGCCATTAAATAAAATGTAATTTCTCATAGAAATGCTTAATAAACTATGACTAGAATTTTTAATAATAAAGAAAATCAAACAGTATGAAATTTCCTCAACAAACTGAAAGTGGAACTGTCTTCTGACCCGGCAATTCCACTGCTGGGATTATATTCTAAGAGCCGTGAAACACAAATCCAAAAGAACCTATACACCCCAATATTCATAGCAGAACAAGTTACAATAGTCAAGTATTGGAAACAACCTAAGTGCCCATCAGTAAATGAATGGATCAAAAAACTGTGGTACATTTACACAATGGAATACTATGCAACAGAAAGAAAGAAGGAGCTTCTACCCTTCGCAACAATGTAGATGGAACTGGGGAGCATTATGCTAAATGAAGTAAGCCAAGCGGTGAAAGACAAATACCCTAGGATCTCACCTTTAAGTGAAACCTAATCAACAAAACAAACAAGCAAAAGATAATCAGATATTTGGGTGGGTGTGCTGGGATGGGAGTAAAAGACAGAAAACTGTACTTAAACAAAAATTAAAATTAAAAAAAATAAAAATAAAACAAAAAAAGATAATCAGATATTGAAATAAAGAACAACATGACAGCAACCAGAGGAGAGAGGGGAGAGGAGTAATGGGGAAAGGAGGGAAAGGGTCAGCAAGGAACATGTATAAAGGACCCATGGACAAAACCAAAGGGGGATAGATTAAGGGTGGAAGGTGGGGGTGAGTGAGGAGAGGAGGAGTGCTGGGGGAAATGGAGAAAACTGTACTAGAACAACAGTTTCAAAAAAACAAAATTATAAAATGAACCAACAAAATTCACTAACATCCCTATATACAGTAATAGAAAGAAAATGGAATGAAGAGTATCTCACTCACAAAAGCAAGCAAAAAATTAACTATGATAATGAAAACATCAAAGGAAATGTGCACAATCTGTATTTTAAAAACAAAGCATTCTTGAGGGACATAAGAAAAAGAAATTATTTTCAATGGAAAGACTCAATAGTATAAAGCTATCAGTTTACCTCATAGTTGTATATAAAATAATATTTTAATATATCACTTTGGATTCAATTAGTAATAAATAATTATAAGTCTAAAATAAATTTTAGAGAAGTGTGCAAACACATTAAAGAAAAACGATGGATATGGTCATGCAATACTGACTTTTCTAAGATACTGTAGGGCTACAGTGATTAATACAGCAGAGCACTAACTAAAGTTTAGACAGACAGATCAATGGGAATAAAACCAAAAACTGAGAAATGGTTCCTCAGTTAGTATGTAATAAAAGATGTTATTTCAAGTCAGAACTGATAAGATGGATTATTTAATAAATGATACAGAAATATTTGGTCAACTGCTTGAGAAAAAAATTACACTTCTGGATGAAATTATACATCCAAATACATTCAAGAGGCATTAAAGAGTTAAGTGTATAGAAATACAAAGAAATAAAAGAAAATATACAGGATATTATCTAATCTCAGAATGAGGGGAACCATTCTAAACAAATATCCAAGAGAAAGAAAAAAACATTAAAAAAAGAGGGAAGAATTTGACAACAAAATCATAAAGTAAAGAAAAAAATGACATACAGGGTCTGGCAGAAATAGTGCCTGCTGGAGTATGGTTGGTAGAGTAATAATAAAATGGGTGTGATGATTTATAGTTTTAATTTGAACAAGTCATCTACAATGTCATATGGTGTGCTTCAGTGTGATATTGTTATGTTACAGAATTACATGCTTATGATTTTGTAATAAAAAATTTTACAACAAAAAGGGGTGTTATTTGTGAAGAGTTCATGGGCCCTCTAGATGGTAAGTGTATATGACCCTGAGTATGGCAGATGAAGATTAATGCCATAAAATATACAGGGTGGGGCAAAAGTCTGTTTATAGTTGTGAGCACATGAAGCACAAAGTTTATTCTTGTATTATTATTTATTAATTATTGAATTATTTTCCACACGAACAACTGTAAACCTACTTTTTTCCCCATCCTGTCATTGTCTTATAAAACTGTAGGAATTAGACAAATCTGTTAAAGGATAAATGGGCACACAACATAAACAGGCTTTTCACAGAGAAAGAGATACTTAATATAAATAAATTTATGTAAAACTTCATTCTCAATAATAAAGAAATTCAAAATGATTCAGCAATGATATGTTATTTTCCCTTTAAAACTGGCAAGGGACTTTTAAGTTAATGATGCTTGTTATTCGGGGCACGGGAATAACACTCGCAGATACTGCCAGTACGAGGACAGGATGCCACCCCTTTCTGAAAGGCAAGTGGCAATGTGGACCAAAAGCCTTTTAAGAAACAATAACTCCTTGAGGTAGGAATTCCACTTTTTAATAATATATTCTAGGAAAATAGCCACTAGTAAGTACTGAACACTAAAAGTTATCCATATTCAAGATTTACTTTATAATGACAAACAACAAAAACAACTGAAATATTGAATAAAAGACTCAGTTAAATTATGAGAGCCTCACTTTATGCAATATTTTCTGCAAAAACAATGACTTAATCATAAGAAAACTGACAATATATCTTTAGGTGGGAAAGATAGATACAAAAGAATGCTAAAGAGATTATTCTAATTTCAAGAAAAAAATTAACATGTATATACATAAATTAAAATGAAAAGGATGTACAATATAATACAGGTAGAATTAAAGGCAATTTTAATTTCTCTTGTTAATTTTAATTTCCAAATTAACTGTTAAAATAAATATGTATAAATTTTATAATGATGGAAAATAGTGAGTTAGTAAAAATGCACAATGCTTGAGATATATATAACGTTGAATACTGATAACATACAATAGTATGTATGTCTCAGAGACACTATTTAGATCACTTTGACATTTCAGAATAATTATAACTAATTTAGGTCTGATCTCACGTAGACTAAAAACGTATGTTGAATTTTAGCAGTGACTGAATCACTATGATCCCTACTTAAATTTTTTTTCATTTTTATTATTATTGTTATATTTTCTGTACAATTTTATGGTGACAAAATATAAGCATGTAAGAAGAGACCTTTACGTAGAATAAGTGTAGAATAAATCAAAATGAAAAACTTAATAAGAATCTTATCATAATGCCCATAAAACTGAGAATAGCACACAAATGACAGTTCACTTACCTCCTGCAGAATCCAGGAAAAAAAAGTTAGAGAATTTGAAGAGCCTAATTTTGCATGCATTTCACTTTTGAGATGTATGCATTTTGAATATCTGAGACTAGTACAACTTTTCCATTTTAAATTCATAATTAGAATTAAAAATAAAGTACGATGGGAAGTGGGGGCAAGGGAGAGAAGATAACCCAATGCTTAAAAACTCAATGCTTAATCACAACGTAATAAAACGTTAGCTTCCACGTTACTAAAAGAAAGCAAGACCCCCATCATTCATGCTGGCAAAAGCTTGCCTTTGCATAAACCATTTCTGTTCTCACTTTTATAAAACCAATGACTTTGGAAAGGAAAGAAAACACAGAATGACGTGCAAAGTAGCACACACCATGTTATTGCAGCTGGATAAAGAATATGTCACTAATGACTTTCTACCCATCCGTTACATGTTGAGTTTTTTTTTCCAAAATAGCAAGTGGCCTTTATAAGTACAAAGCAGAAGCAGTGAAATTCAGAATACTATCCAATTTCTACTTGATTTCGATACTGTGTTAGTTAATGGAATGAATTATTACTCATTCCTTGGGAAAGACAGGATTTCCTTTTCTCTCCATTTGAATTAAATGTAACATTTCTGAACCCTAATTTTCTGTACTAAATTCAAAATAACATTTTCATCAGATAGTTATCACCAAGTTCATCTTGAGTGAGATATTTATTATCCATGACCAATACAAAGATTCACCTGAGGCTGTTTGATAAATTCAGAAAACTAATCTAATTCACTTCCTAAATTGTAAGTTCAAGTCAGAGTGGTGATTGCTCGTTAGGAACAACTGATAGAATTAATGAATGATTATGGGTTCTATTCATGATATCAAAAACTAATAATATAGTAGTTCATTTCCACAAAGGAATACATAAGAGAGAGTTAGGCAAGAAGTATAATACCTTCACTGATAGTGTAACTTTGTAATGTACTAGGATTGTCCACTTCTTAACATGTATCAGAAAAACATCAATCACATAACTTCAAAAATTAAGATTCTCAACCTCATCAGGGTAAGAGGTCATGAGATTTTTAAGTCCTGTGAAATCTGTTTAAGATTAATCAACCTAGCAACCTACAGGCATGTGAATAATGACTAAAACTTACTCTTCATAAGTGCTTTCTTAAGTGCCAGGTGCTATGCTAAAAGCTTTACATGTATTAATTTTCTTAATGAGCCTATGAGGTAGGTACTGTTATTACCCCACTTTAGATACTAGGAATTCAAAACACAGAAAAGATCGGTGACTTGCCCAAAGTCACTCACCTAGTAAATAGCAAAGCTATGATGGGAACAGGTAAACAGGCCTCAGAATCCGCCATCAACCATCATGCACAGCACAGTCTACAACCTTTTTTTAAATAGGTGCTGTGGTTGACCCTTTTTGATCAAAAAATTGCAAATTAATCATTTGAATTCATAAATTAGGCTATGATATTATGACAAAACCTAAAATCATCTCTAATTTCCTCACCTTTGATATAACATTTTTTCATTTTCATACTTTTTAGGTAAATTAATATAGCACTTTATCCTATAATTTGTGTTATAGACTAATAAAAAGAGGGCAAAAATTTTATTCTGTAAACATTACAAAGAACAAAAGTTCAGAGATATACAACATATTTACCCTCTCATACATAAACAAGTATTAGAGGTAAGTACAGAAGGTCAACAAATATGTTGTTATACAAAATAACATCTCCACATTGATATGTGTGATATTTGGTGTGTTGTACCTTTAATTTCTCCAAGAAGTTCACTGGTATTTAGTCTTTCCATTTTTTCCTTCCAATCTTTTGAAAGTAGTTTTTCCATGCAGGAGGAATCTATTAAAATAAAAAAGTAAGGATTAAAAATATTGCATGTATATTTTATAAGTATTAAATTTAACAAATCCAGAAGGCCAGCTTACGGAGAAATTCTATCACTTAAGAATGATTAAAGCTATTTTATGTTGTTGTTTTAAACCCAAGATACAGGCAATTTTATTATTGTATTACAAAATATCACAACTAAATTTATTTTTACTTAAGTATTTAAACTGTTTTCAAGAAAGAAAGATTATGCTCAGTAAACTTGTCTTGGTATTATAATTATAATTCTATTTATATTCAGTCAACATTTATAATTTCTTAAACTGATAGGACAGAAAAAGGTTTTCTCTCCTATGTATTTAAGTTTAGATAACATTCCTTTTAATCAGGTGTTTATTTTTTAATTCTAGCCAAAATTCGTATGCTGTTCAAGAAAAAAAAAGACAGTTCTTCAAGGGGGAAAACACCAATCAACCTGGAACCACTTGTCCTTAGAAAAGAAATAAACTTAAGGCAACTTTTGTAAAATGCCCATTTCTAGCAAAATGCAAAGAAAATAAAGTCAAGACAATGAAAACTGCCAATGCAATTCTCTTATATAAAAAGAGACACACATTCTTTTCAAGAAAATACTTAGTTAAACATTTTTTTTTTTGCCCTACTGCATTTCTAAGTAGCCTACTAGGTTATAGGGAGTGATTACATTTATTTCTATAAAGATTCATAAAGGTTACAGAAATACAAACTTTAGAATATTTTAATAATTAGAAAATTTTCTTCAGTGAGTTCTTTTTCTCTATTCTGATGGATCTGCAACCGAAGCTACTGCTTACAACTATTTACATGCACCTTTTGAGCTTCACATCTTAACAAATAGGCCACATTTCCAAAAGGGAATGCAGGTTCAAACACTAAATCCTTAGTGTGAAGCATACTCCCATTAAACTTTAACATTCCAAATGTCAAAATTCTGATAACTTCTTTTTTAAATTATATTTAAATTGTTACTCCATATCCAAATGCCTTTCCTCTCCCATATTAGTACCTATCTCTTTAGCATTTTTCCTTTCTTGTTTTTTCCTCTAGCTTCTAAATCCTCCTTGAATTTTTCAGAATGACAGTAAGGTCAAGGTGGATCTAAAGGGTTTTAAAAACTAGATAAGCTTTAGGAAAAGACAGGGAGCCCTGGGTAGGAGAGGAGAAAACCACTGCATGATTAGGAAGTATTGGTGAAAACAATGAACATTTGTCCATAATGTGACCAGTCAGTCAGGGAATGGATGGAATTCAGATCTCCAGATCGGCTGCGTCCTGAAACGGCTGACAAAGAACAACCACACTACTTTGCTATCACAGAAGCTGAAGTTCTTTCTAAATAGAAGCCAGCTTGATTCTGTGACAAAAGCTCCCTGCCCCTTCCCCTTACTTCCTTGCTTTGTTGCCTCCTTCCTTCTTTCTTTCCATTCTTTCCTATTAAACTTTTCTTAGGCTTCAATAAGGGACCTTCCACTGTGATTAAAAACTGAATTGAGTGATCAGATAGGGCCTGCGTGCATATGTATATACGTTCATTTTTTATCTGATTTCCAAAATGGTCTCTTTCTACATTTATTTTAAATTCAGAAGCAAGGTGTGCACTTTGTTCTATACATATTTTGTAATTATGCTAAATCATAAAAAAAGTAATACTGAGTTTTGAAAGTTATGAAGCCAATCTTCAAAACTATGCCTATAAGAGATGACTTCCCCCCAAAGAGGGTTTAAATTTCTGAGAGAGAGGCTGATAGAACATCAGATCATGGATAATAATAATCAGCAAAACATCTTCAACTTCCTGTCCTGCCCAGTTTTTTTACCCTTTCATACATGTTATAACATTGCACTAAAATGCATTGATATAAATGCTAAAGCATAACTTGTTAAAATTTGAATCGAGAGCATATACTATAATGGTAAAAGACAAAAGCCCAATTTACTACTAATGACCACAGACTCGAAGCAAGTTCATAAACTAGGATTAGAAACACAATAAATATAAAACAAGCTTAAATATATGTCTCTCATTTCTATATATAAACCTGAAATCTTTCAGAGCTCCAGGAAAAGAATGCTTAAACTTCATGGGAGAAAAATATAACTATATGGACAACAGGAATACACACTTCAAATGTAAATCAACTTTATATAAAGTTGATTTACATGTTGACACAACTTTACATAAAGGCTACTCATTAATAAAATGGTTAATGACTTCAAAGCATTTCACATTCCTGTTAGAAAATTAATCCTCACTGTAATGCTAAATTGACCTAATGATATGTGATCCCATTTCAACAGAAGAAACTGAGGGGAAAAAATAAATCAGTCTTTGAGTGTCTCTATTATAGCTCATGAAAATATTTAATAACAATCACTGATTGCTTTTATCTATAGGACAATACAACTCGCTGCATACAAATTTAACATTTAATCTCAATGCTCAGATTCCAGAGAGATTCAAAACACTGAGAAGTCTCTTGAAAAACTCTCAGCTTCACACCTAATTATCTGACTGCCAAACCTCCAAGGGCATGCCACAATTAGTACCAAGCTCACTCCCTACTATAATGGAAAGCAAGTGCAGACAGGGGAAAAAAGACCAAAATATGCAAATCGTCAACAAATACTACATAGGCAAAGGGCTGTCATCACTGAGAAGTTTCTGACTTGCAATGAAGAAGTATGTAATAAAATTATATATGAAAAATTTATGTTTTAAGATTTCCCACTCAAAACAGTATCCAGTAAGGGCGGAAAAAAAGTATTCTTCCTTGTGCCACATGCTTCAACTACATTAACAGCACACTAGCTTTCCAGAGGCGATTGATCAGGTCAGACTCTTCCTCAAGTACAGTTGTAAAAACTAGAGGTCAAAATAAGTGAAGAACTCCAGTTCACATCATGGACATGGAAAAAGTGGGACCGTGCAAAGTGGCTCTAACTCAGCAGTCAGGCAGGATTCCAGATGGAAAAAAGACTGAGCATCACCCAGATGTTCTTGGATTATTTAACGCAGATAAATATGTTTCACATGACTGACTTGAAAACAACTAATATAGCTATGGTGATGCCATAGTCTTCAAAACAGTAAAAGAATATACAGTATTTTCATTACCTGAGTTTGACTATTCAAATTTTAGTATTTTGACTAAGTTGACTTCAGCTAAAAAACAGGAGAGAAGTTACATACCTTTTGGAAATTGAAATAAAGAACTACAATATTATAGTATAAAAAAGTCACCATATGTACATATTAAAAATGAATGCAAGACATATACCTCAGTATAAAAGTGGGAAATACCAAAATTAATTCCTCTTATTTTGAAAGAATTAGCCTCCAAAAGCCAATTCATACTCAATGCAATACAGAACTCTATCATATTTATCTTGCCTTATTTTTGTAAGTAATGTGATTTTGAAAGGACTATCAAAAACTGGACCTCAGTTCTCACTTGTAGTTTGATCAAGGATGTAAAAGGTTTTGATATGTTATAAATTAATTATCAGCTGCATAGCTTTTGTTTTTTTTCTTTTCTTCTGAAAATTTAAGTTTTTTTGAGAAACTGTTTTTAAGAAAGAAGGAAAGACAATTCAGAACTAATTTTTTTTAGGTTTTATTTATTTATCTTTAGAGGGGAAGGAAAGAAGAGAGGAAGAGAAATATCAATGTATGATTGCCTCTCATGCATCCCCTGCTGGGAACTGGCCTGCAACCCAAGCATGTGCCCTGACTGGGAATTGAACTGCAGTTGTTTAGTTCGCAGGCCCACGCTCAATCCACTGAGCTACACCAGCCAGGGCTTCAGAACTAATTCTTAATGATTATCCTGCATAGTGGATTACAAAGCAACATTTCTTCTTCCTGAATATCTAAGTGTCAGCCCAGGTAAGTTAAGAGTACTTTATCATGCTAATAATTAATTGTACAGTACAAGACAAATTCAAAGTGAGGATATATGAGCTGTTTATTACCTAATCTACATGATGATATTTTAGGAACAATTTTAAATTATTTCTAAAGTTGCAGCAGTATTAACACATATTCTGCACAAAATAAAAATATTTAAAATGGCTCAAAAAGAATTTAAAAAATCATCACTAAAACTAAAGCTTGGGGGAATAGAAAAAGATAAATGGAAATAATTACGTACTTTAAAACAATTTACCTGTGAGTAAACACATATTGTTCCTCTTACCTCAAAGTGATATTTAAATTTAGAAATGCTAAAACATTAGAAACGTGATATAGAAAATATCCTTAAAATATTTCAGTGAGAAAAAATACTGGCTGCTGCTCTTACATGCAGATTTCCTACTGCCTTATTAATTCTTTTAAGAAGTATTAAAACAATTCATTTTATTTTTACCATAGGAATCATACATTTCAAATGTAATATATTGTCTCTGTATCCAAGAACAATAACTTGTCAAAAATTACCTTTGACCTTTGTTTATGAGTAATTTTGACAGTATGTATTTACATTCCCGCTGATCATCCATCTCACATTTTTCATTAGGAAATAGAGACGCACAGGCCTGTTACTGTACATTTTTCGACAGTGATAAGTGCTTCAGAATACAGTGGGATAAAATTGGAGCTTGGAGAGCTTGAAGAGCACTCTTAAATTTTAATTAAAACCCTCCAAGCTCACTAAAAATAATTAGACACTAAAATGTGCCAGTTTTATTTTGAAGTCATGATAACGTACAAAGCACAGTCCCAGACTACTACTTGTGCTCTCCTTTCTCCCCTTCTCCAATGAAACAACAGATTTTCCAAATACGAACAAGAAGGTATAAATAGAGGCTGTTTTCAGGCCTTCTCTTCATGCTGGGAAGCTGACAGAAAAGACAGCAGAGTGGGCTTTTCAGACTGCGCCAAATGAAACTAGAATAACTTGCCTAACCAAGAGTTCGAATCACTGACAAAATCTGGATAAAATTCAGTCTGCAAGGAACAACACGGTTGTATC